TGTGAAAAACAGATTGTCGTTGTTGTTTTTCAAAAGGTTGTTGTTTGTTTGAAAATATTCAAACGGCCACGGCCAACGATCAACATTTGCAATCGACTCGAAAGCTCACCTTACTCGGATTAAAGATTGATCCAAGCGATTCAATGATATGACTCTCGAAGGTGATAAATCTCTCACAAACAACTACAAACTCGTTTCCAAGCAGAAATTGAATCATTACAAGCGGACAGAGAAACTGTACGAAGCGATCCGGAAGGCAAGCAAGAGGAAAATCTGCGTCTTGGATGAGCAAATGAAGTTTTTTCTCAGAGCAGTTGTTGGTCTGTGTGTTCAGGTCCCCGGTGTTGCTTTTGAGCAAATCTTTTTTTTGGCTGCGATCATTTTTGCAACCATCCTCAAGCTTGTTGACTTCGAAGATCAGGAAGCATCTACTATGAGCCACCTTCAGATCTTCAAAATGATGCCATCTCGAACCACAGGCAACAGGTATGCGCAAAGAGCACCAGCACACAATGTCATCCGTCAAGGCGCCCAAATGATGCAAGCCAAAGCGCTTTTCCCTGGAGCAGACAAAGGCAGGGGTAGTTTGATAAAGAAAATCTGCTATAGAGCCAGTGATCAAGGGTGATTTGGCATTTTTGTTCGATTTTGACAAGAGCTTTTTTAACAATCACATGGAATTCAATCATGCCCTGGACAAGAACATTGGACGAACCGGTTTCCTAGCTCACCATCACCTGGTTCGCTACTTCTTGAAGACTATCGAGCTGAAGGAGTTAAAACAGGAGGTGGAAAAAGGAGCACAGTACATCGCTCAATCCCCGCAAACTGCAAAGCTTCCTTCCTTTTGGCAAGCAATGAGGGACTGTGAAGGCTTGGACACCAAATACCAGACTGATCGTGCTAGAAAATTCCTTAAGCTGTATGAGGTATCGCTTCACAAGCACAACCAACACTTTTGCAACGAACTCTTGTTTCTTGGATGCTTTGGTGAAAAACCAACAGCAACTATTGTTGCAAAATATCTGATGCTAGTGTGCGATGAAGATGATCTTAGTGCTCAAGATTTAGTGGAAGGCCAACAGGCTAAGTTGTTTATGTCTTCTATACACAATAATAAAACAATTGATCTTGAGGCGTTTGCAAGGTTCTTGATCGAATGTGGAAAATCGGATTGTCTTGATACAATGCACTTTGAACGCCTTTATGATATCCTATGTAAGATATCAAACGGCGCAGATTTTTGGAACCCAACGACTGAGCAGGGCTGGCATGATCTGATTTTTTATATGAACTTCTATGCTCCGCTTCCTTCGACAATGGAAGAGATCGAACGGAGCGTGAAAACGGCAAGGTTGTGCAAGAGAACCGGCAAGAACGAACAAAATGTGAGCTCGTATGGTATTGCTCGAGCTCCGCTTCTCACCAAGTGTGATGAACCTAATCTACTACTAAGTTCATACGGGGAAGCGATGAGAGAACAGAGAGCGTCCGAAGCATCTGCTGCATCTGCTGAGGGGAAAGAGTCCAGATATAGTGGAGAGTACAAAGAGGATCTGAGCCGTGGTCCTGCAAGACTGGAAAATGTATTGAAACACAGCCTCAATATTTACAATTACGTGGAGGAACAGAAAAAACAAGACAAGGAAGGATATGAACACAAACTTGATATCACACTGGCAAATCTTGGCGATAAGAGTGCGAAAGAAAGTGCAAGACGACAACGCGACTATGCTGCAAACGTGGAGAAACAACATGGAAAGAGTCTCAGTGGATCGGCGCGACAGAGGCAGCAAGGCGTAGACACAACTCCATACATGGCCGGCAGAGTCGTCTTCGCAAAGTGTCTGAAAGCAAAAAATATGAACGCAATGGTAGTTGAGGCGGTCGCTCGAGAACTTCTCGATGAAAGCGACAAGGCCGCATACAATGAAGGCAAACCTGTGTCTATCACCTACACCAGTATTAGGGCTCTGATTGCGAATGACGTTGTCAGAAGATGGAAGGAGGAGCACAAGGACAAACCACTTAGTGAAGAAGACGAAAAAGAGCTTCGAAAAACATTTCAGCCAATATCTGACGCAGAATTTGTTCAGAAGGACTAGGCCCATTTCAAATACTTAAGCTCATTATTTTATTGCTGTTCTGATTGTTGAGTGCTGTTCAGTTTATGTGCTGTCTCCTCTGGCGTCGGTAGATTGCAGTGTTAGCCGATACATCACTATTTTTGTCAATTCTAGATTATGCTTTCGCTTTGTTTGTGACACAAAAATCGATTCATACGATTACAAGATTCGTTTGCGCGCTACAATCGCGCATCAAAGTTCTCCAAGTGGGACTGTGGAGCCCTTCTTGTGTTGGGATCGTTCAGCATTGCTTCCCAATAAATCATATTCCTGACTCTTCTCAGTAAATTTGTCCAAAAAATCATCACCAAGCAAAGCTTGTAATGCCTTCGCCCTTTCTTCAAATCGTTTACAAAAACTCGCATTGTTTTCCTTCTCCTTTTGATGGCAATTAATCAGATTGCTCATTGTCTTCCACAGACCAAAATATTCCCATTCTGTATCAACAGTAGTCATCATAAATTTCTTGATCCGCATCAATAGCTCCACAGGATCATTGAACAGTTTGTTATCAAAGTCAGCTTCTCGCTCAAGTTTGTCCACCATATGATCGGTGCACATCTTCATAATCATTCCATAGACATTGCGTTTATTGTTATCAAACGCGTTCTTCCTGGCCTTCCAATCCTTTCGATCAGCCAAATAGTTAGTTCTTCTTTCTTCATTCTTGATCTCCTTATCAGGATCGCTGTCATTAGTCACCAATACCAATGTTGGTTTCACACTTTCAATATCAAACAGACTCAAGGTTCGTACACTCTGGATCATGTCATCAATATGATCCATCTTCATCGTTGACATTTTAATCACCAATGTCTTCTTCACTTCATCAAAGCTAAATTTGGGAATGTTTCCTCTAGTCAGAGGATGAAACTTCTTCTCTTTCTGGCTACCATTGCCACTCTTATGTCCATTGTATTGACCATTACCTCGGCCTTGCTGCTGTGATCTTCCTTGTCCAGCATTTCTTCCATTGGAACCACGTCCAGTATTCTGAAATTGTCCACTCATCATGAGCAAGTACCTATTGTTTCAAGTCATAGAAATATATCGACTCCCAATTAAATTCAGTGACTTTTTATAATATATGTTAGAAGTAAGCGATCCACTGCCACCTGCAATCTACCTGTTCAAATGACTGCGATTTAGCTGTCCAGGTATTGTTGCCTTCTAAGTATATGAATTTATAGTATATAGAAGTATATAGATCTATCAGAGATCCTACTTTATCAACCAATTCACTCGTTGCTTGCAATATATTATAAAAAGTGAGAACAGTCTGTCAACTTTTGACTTTGACTCTTTCTTCACCAGTTCAGTGGAAATTCTAAGAATTCTCTCCACATCAGCCTGACATGCTGCAAGTTCAATCTGTTTATCCGTTCATCTTCCACTGCTGTCGGTACTTTGATTAGTATCCAACTTTGGTTCTTGCTTGAATCTTGCTTTCTTACATCATCAACATGATGATTTCCATAGAAATAAATTGTCTTTTCTGACTCGCCATGCGCGATATTTTTAGTTGTATCAGTCTTCATTTTTAATCGTATCAGTCGACATCATTTTTTTTCTCTATCGTTCACATGTATTCGCTTTTTCTCGTTTCTCCAAATATGTACTTCGAAAATCCTAATATATCCAATTTGAGCAAACTTGAGTTTTTTGAGTTCTTTTGAGCGAACTTGATTTTTTTTTTTGATTTTTTTTGATTTTGTTTTGATTTTGTTTTGATTTTGTTTTGATTTTGTTTTGATTTTGTTTTGATTTTGTTTTGATTTGTTTTGATTTGTTTTGATTTGTTTTGATTTGTTTTGATTTGTTTTGATTTGTTTTGATTTGTTTTGATTTGTTTTAATTTTTTTCAGTTTTTTTCAGTTTTTTTCAGTTTTTTTCAGTTTTTTTCAGTTTTTTTCAGTTTTTTTCAGTTTTTTTCAGTTTTTTTCAGTTTTTTTCAGTTTTTTTCAGTTTTTTTCAGTTTTTTTCAGTTTTTTTCAGTTTTTTTCAGTTTTTTTCAGTTTTTTTCAGTTTTAGCGAACTTGAATTTTCTTGAGTTTTTTGAGCGAACATGAGTTTTCTTGAGTTTTTTTTAGCAAACTTGTGTTTTCTTCAGTTTTTTTTAGCGAACTTGAGTTTTCTTCAGTTCAATGAGTTTGGGGATCGCCGAAGACAATAATAACTGAAACATTAATCGATTAAATGCTATCTAGCGCATACAATTGCCAGTGGAATAAGCGGCTGTAAAGGTCAAGTATCGTGAAACGACAAGTCAACAACTAGTTTGAACCATTGGAGACATCTGGTGGACAGAAGTTGCTCTAGTCAGGATTGGGGGGATCCCAACTCTACCCGCAAAAGGGCAAGGTGATTTTGGGGCGTTGATTCCTCAAAACGGGGTTAGGGGGCCTGGGCCGGGTGGAAGAAGCGGTGAAGGATATGGCGTTGAGGCGCCAGAGCGCGGCGATAGGCCGTGCGTTCCATTCCAACCAGCTTCAGCCACTCTTCCCTATTGACCAACCGCTTGTTTGTTTGAATAAAGCAAAATGTGCTCTATCGTGAGTGCCTTTAGCGCTCAGAACAAACTCTCTGCAATCTAAATTCGTAATTGATTGTACAACACTTTCACAACAATAGTTTTCCTGTGTCTAGGTATACTTTGAGTGAACTTGTTCCTATTTGATTAATGTTTGGCTTGAATTGATGATTCAATCACAAAAGTAAGTTCAACGATTTTCCCTTGGAAATGTTGGGATATGACGAAATATGAGTTTTTACGTTCCGAAAAGAAACTATTCAAGTACGAAGTTTTCGACACGTACGATCGGACTTTGATCGTGATGTCAGGATTCGCCGCAAGTATGCCGGACGCAAGTCTGTCGGACAAACTACATCCACACAAAAGGGAATGACCCTATACAAGTGTGTTATCGATGTTGTGTACAATGCAGTAGGGAATAATACAATATGTCCCAAAGTACTGTATCCAACACAGAATCGTCGTAGAGGTCGAATCAAGTTCTGTAA